TTCCGTCAATTGTCCTCTGACCTCCCCCATGATATCTGTGTACATGCACGTACACACACAAACACACGTAAAAATTTGTAATAAAAATTTTAAAGAATGTTTCAAGTGTGTTTTGCTTCCTTAGACTCTAAAATACTGGTGGTTTGTTAGATTGCACATATGGCTGGGCATACAGTATGAATTTAATAAGTTCATTTTGAGTGAAAATGTCTCAGTAATTCTCTTGGGTGTTGAATTAGCTCTTGCTGTGGCAACGAAGAGCCCCAGTCTTTGTGGCTTTCACTCTCAAACATCATTTCTTCGCTTCACTCTGCATGGCTGCTCAGCTGGTTCAGCCCCTCCAGCCTCACGTGGTTTGTTCACTCTGAGATCTATTTCGTGTGGAACCCATGGGGGCAGGCTTGTATCTGCTTCCAGAATGATCTCCAGGTGAAACAGGAAACAGCTCGTTCTGAAGGTTCTTTGCAGAACTTGTCTGCATTCCACTGGTCAGAGTGAGGAATATGGTAAGACACATATCCAAATTAAAAGAACAGGAAAGTGGAGTTTGCCTCTGGGATGGGAGATATGAGGGTGAATGTCTGTTGAGAATTGAACAAAATGTTTATTAGAAATAATTAGTCCATTTTCTTAAGTGTCTTTCAGCCTTTTTGATTTCTTCTATTGAGAATTTTTCTTCAGTTCTGTACCCCATTTTTTTAATAGGGTTATTTGGTGTTTTGTTGACTAGTTTCTTGAGTTCTTTTTATATTTTGGAGATCAGCCCTTTGTCGGATATAGGATTGGTGAAAATCTTTTCCCAGTCTGTAGGCTGCCATTTGGTCTTGTCCACTGTGTCCTTTGCCTTACAGAAGCTTCTAAGTTTGAAGAGGTCCCATTTATTAATTGTTGATCTCAGTGTCTGTGCCCCTGGAGTTATTATGTTCAGGAAATGATCTCCTATACCAATTTGTTCAAGGGTACCTCCTACTTTCTCTTCTAAGAAGTTCAGTGTGGCTGGATTGATGTTGAGGTCTTTGATCCATTTGGACTTGAGTTTTGTGCATGGCGACAGACATGGGTCTATCTGCAGTCTTCTACACACCCTCATCCAATTGTGCCAGCACCATTTGTTGAAGATGCTGTCCTCGCCCCATTGTATAATTTTAGCTGTTTTGTCGAAAATCAGGTGTTCATAGGTGTGTGGGTTAATATCAGGATTTTCAATTCGATTCCATTGGTCTACCTGTCTATTTTTGTGCCAATACCAGGCTGTTTTCAGAACTATAGCTCTGTAGTAGAGCTTAAAGTCAGGAATGGTGATGCCTCCTGAAGTTCTTTTATTGTATAGGGTTGTTTTGGCTATCCTGGGTCTTTTGTTTTTCCATATAAAGTTGATTCTTATCCTTTCAAAGTCAGTGAAGAATTGTGATGGGATTTTAATGGGGATTGCATTGAATTTGTAGATTGCTTTTGGCAAGATTGCCATTTTTACTATGTTTATCCTACCTATCCAAGAGCATGGGAGATCTTTCCATTGTCTGGTGTCTTCTTTAATTTCTTTCTTTAGAGCCACAAAGTTCTTATTATATAGGTCTTTTACTTGTTTGGTAAGTGTTACACCAAGATACTTTATGTTGCTTGTGGCTATTGTCAAGGGTGATGTTTCTCTGATTTCTTTCTCTGTCTCTTTGTCATCTGAAAAAAAGTAGGGCTACTGATTTTTTTGAGTTTATCATGTATCCTGCTAGTTTGCTGAAGGTGTTTATCAGCTGTAGGAGTTCCCTTGTAGAGTTTATTGGGTCGCTTATGTAAACTATCATATCATCCGCAAATAGAGACAGTAGTGCTCAACATCCTTAGCTATCAGGGAAATGCAAATCAAAACAACTTTGAGATACCATCTTACTCCTGTCAGAATGGCTAAAATTAGAAACACCAATGACAACTCATGCTGGAGAGGATGTGGACAAAGGGGAACACTCCTCCACTACTGGTGGGAGTGCAAACTCATACAGCCATTTTGGAGATCAGTATGGCGGTTCCTCAGGAAAATGGGAATTAGTTTACCACAGGACCCGGCAATCCCCCTCTTAGGCATATACCCAAATGATCCATATCCATGCAACAAAGACATCTGTTCAGCTATGTTCATAGCAGCACTATTTGTAATAGCAAGAACCTGGAAGCAACCTAGATGCCCCTCAATTGAAGAATGGATAAAGAAGATGTGGCATATCTACACAATGGAATATTACTCTGCAGAAAAAAATAATGGTATCTTGAAATTCTCAGGCAAGTGGCACTTGAAGAAACCATCCTGAATGAGGTAACCCAGTCACAAAAAGAGGAACATAGTATGTACTCACTCATATATGGATTTTAGACCTAGAGCAAAGGATTACCAGCCTATAATTCACACCACCAGAGGAACTAGGATACAAGGTGTATTCTAAGAGATTCATATAAAGTCCCTCACAGAAGCGGGAAGGGACAAGTCCCCCCAGAGCACAGGGGAAGTAGGGGAGGGCAGCGAATGGAGAGAGAAGTAGGAGAAAATGAGGTGGAGGAAAGGAAAACACGTGCAACCAGGAAGATTGAGCCCAGTTAGGAATAGAAGACAGGAAGGGAGAGATAGATAGATAGATAGATAGAGAGAGAGAGAGAGAGAGAGAGAGAGAGAGAGAGAGAGTGAGAGAGAGAGAGAGAACATAAAAGAAGGAGCCAATATTGGTTTGAAGAGAAAATTGAAACCAAAGAAAGGTCTAGAGACCTACAAGACTGCCGCCCACTAACAATTTGAGCTTCTGTGGAAAGGCTACCATAAATGCCCTTCCCGGATAGTGAGATCAACAACTAACTTGTCCATGGAGCCCTCATCTAATATCTGTTGGAAACAGGAGCAAACACCCATACATAAACACTGAGTCGAAGTAGACCCCAGATGCAGATGGAGAGGACAAGACCAGGCTGCAGAAACACATAGAGACAGCTGACCTGAACAAGGAGGAGCTAACAGGCCCCCAGACTGATAGCTGGGAAGCCTGCATGGGACTGACTCAGGCCCCCTGAATATGGGTCTCAGCCGGAAGGACTGAGCAGTCTAAGGGACCTCAGACAGTGGAGCCAGGATGTATCCCTGGTGCACAAAAGGACCTTGAGAACACATCCCCCATGGAGGGATAACTGCCTTAACCTAGAAACAGGAGAGAAGCCCTAGTCCCTACTTCAAATGACCTGTCAGATCTACATGACCTCACCTGGATGGCATTCCCCTACATATGGAATTGGGGTGGGGGGATGGGAGGGGAGGGTGGTTAGGGTGCATGTGAGAGGGCAGAGAGGGTAAAAGGGGGGAAGGGAGGGAGGGAGGGAGGGAGGGAAAGGAAACTGGGATCGACATGTAAAATAATAAATAAAAAAAATAATAATAAATAATCAGTCCAACTCAATCAGAAGCATAGTAAGGAGCTAGTGGGACAGAGGCCTCTATCAGAACTCATCAGGGTGACTTTGGTCACAGCATTGTCACAAGAGCTTCCTCACAGTTATGTCAGGGGACCTTAATATCAGTATGGAACACACATGTGTTCTTCTGTGTTCTTTACTTAGGGGAACTTGATGGCACATAAGCTCAGTCTTGTTTCTGTGAGGGTGCATTTCTGACAGAGTGTGTGGGCTACTTGCAGTGTCCCTGCTGCCTGGAAGGTGGGTGACATGCATGATTGTGGCTTTCAACACAGCTTTCTCAGCCTCTAAAACCTTTGTTTTGGTGATAGCTTTGAGAAGGGAGGGACTATGATGTAAAACAAAACATTAAAGTAATGTTTCTCAACCCTGTGGGCTGCAACCCCTTGAGGGTCAAATGGCCCTTTTCACAGGGTTGGTATATCAGATTTACATTACGATTCATAATAGCAGCACAATTACAGTTATAAAGTAGCAACGAGAATAATTTTATGGTTGGGGGTCACCACAGCCTAAGGAACTGTATTAAAGGGTCCCAGCACTAGGAAGTTTGAGAACCATTTCATTAAATGAATTTTTTTTTCTTTAGAGATATTTTAAATATGAGATGAAAAGAATTTGGCGAAGAGGGAGGTTTCCAAAGGCTGGGAACAGAAAAGATTTAATTGAAACTTCAGTTATTTTAATGGAAGCACCTCTCAGCATCAACACAGGAAATAGCAATGTCTTCCAGCTAAAACTTGGTGCCTTCTAGCTTTAAGCTCTGGTCCCACTGCTTTCTATCGTGGATTTTCCGGCAAGTCACACTTACACCTGTGAAATGAGCAGTTCAGTTGTCTGTTGCTTTTCAGCCCCAGATCTGTTTGCATCATCTTGTTTGTGCTCCTGGAACTTTCTCCCCGTCTAGTTACTGTTTCTTGTCAGAATAGGCACCAAAGGAGGAAGGGCTGCCTCTTCTGATTTCGCATGCTTTTCTGTGGCATACACACCTTAGTTCAGTAGGCTCTCCTGATCCAGGAAGGGCACCTTACCAACAGATTCTACTCAGTGAGGTCTCCATGGCTTTCTCTAGCATCCCCTAAAGTGGCTTTCTAGTAAATTAATTTATATGATTCCTTAGTAAAATTTGTATGATTCCTTAGTAAAATCCCCAGACTTCCATGCTTTGTTCTTTTCATAAAATCTGCAAGTCATCGCTGGTTGGACTGGCCCTTTTGGTACTCCAGCCCTGGAAGTCATGCGGCTTCTTAGAGCTGCATCTATTTACATCTGAGCAGCTATTCTCCTGATACACTTAGTAGTATTTTATATCAGGATTTCTCTGTTTAAGTTAGCTTGTGGTTTCTGTCTTCTAATCTTACTTTGACTGATATATTTGGCTTATAAGTAGCAGTTCCATTTTCATAAGTTCTTCTGAGACTAATACATGTAAAACACTTAGAATTGTGTCAGACAGTACATATTTATCAGTGTCAGTGATGTTGCTATTGTCACCATTATCCTTATTGCCACCAGCATCATCTCAAAGTGACATTTCTGTCGTTTGTCCACAGGATGTTTCGTCTCAACACCCTTTCTGCATTGGCAGAACTAGCTGTGGGCTCTCGATGGTACCATGGGGCATCTCAGCCTGCACAGACCAAGCGAAGACTGATGATGGTGGCTTTCCTGGGAGCATCCGCAGTGACTGCCAGTACTGGTCTCTTATGGAAGAAGTGAGTGTTATTTTCTGGTATGAGTTTATGTTAGAATTCCTTTGCTGGATCATTTGATATTGATGATGTTGATCTGTGAAATAGGATTTTTCAGATACTTGGGCTATCCTCCCTCCCAGAGCGGCAGGTAGGAAACAGTGCCTCAAGCTCTGCCTGTCTCCCCACTGAATATTAGCTGAATATTTGTATTGTGAGATAGAAATGGCTTTAAAAAAAAAAAAGGATGTCTTCTGAAACTTCAAAATTTGGTAGCCACATGAAACCGATAATCCTCGGTACTCTTGTGACAGCTGGTCACTTCCTTAGTAGATACTGAGCCTTGCTTGGAGGGAAAAGAAAATGTCATGAGCTTCAGGCCTCTATTTTTCTGTCTCTGCCATACTTTGTATTTGTCTTCCACTTCATTTACCCTGTCTTCAAGTGGCTACCATTATGCATGGCTTTCAGAAACAGTACATTTTTAAAATTAATTCTATTGCATAAGTATATAACAAGGTCTACCCATTTTTAAATATAGCCCCATGGTTATTAACAAATGTTTATAGTTGTGTAACCACCCCCAAATCAAGAAAGAGGACATCTTCCGTGTCAGTCTCATATTACCCACAATTCCAAGCAACTGCGGGGCTAATTTCTATCACTGTCACTTTGTGTTCCTGAAATTTAATCTCCATGGGATCATAAAGAATTTTTCCCTTGGAGTATAGGTGTGCTAGCATAGCCTCCAGTCACAACCCATGTGGGTGCTGGGAACATAATCCAGGTCCTCTGCAAGAGCAGCCCCTGCTCCGAGCCACTGAGCCATCTTTCTAGCCCCCAGATACTATAGAGAGCTGATGGTGTTAATAATTTAAATATATTCTTTCAGCTCTTTCAGTTATCCATTTTTCTTGATTGTGTATTTGTATTTATTATCTTCCCTTGATAGTGATGGGTTATGTTCTTTTCCTCTCATTTACTTTAGAGTAGAGGTTTTTTTTTTTTTAATCATTAACTTGGTATTTCTACTTTTTTTCCCAATATAGGAATTTAATACTGTCTTCTACACAGTGCTTTAGCTGTGTCTCACATTTTTAATATATTGTCTTTACTCAGTTCATATTATTTCATACTTCTTCTTAGTCTTTATTATTCTAATTAGCTACTTGGAAGTCTGTTGCTAACACTTAAAAATATTTGATGATTTTTTTCCCTCGTACTTTTGCTTTGTTTTGTTTTGGGTTTGTATGTAGCTCAATCCACTGTACTTACTCAAGTAATGGAGAGAGTTTTATTTTGTTATTGAAACAGAGTCTCCCAGACTGGCTTAGAACTTGTAATGTAGACTGCCCTCCAGCTCAGATCACCTACCTTAGCTTCCCCCTGGTACTCTGATTATAGGCACACACCTCCACACTCCCTCTTCCCCCACTTGTTTTTATGGCTGATTTTGTCTCTGACCAAAACTTATAAGACACAGCTCTGTTTTTTATTAACATGTTTTTAGTGTATTAACTGTAAGTATTAATGGCATCTTGTGTGCTATTTCCTTGAATGCATATACTGTGTGTTGGTTTTATCGTTGAGGGATAGTTCTGGACATCAAGTCTACCTATATGCCAGGCAAATACCCTACTCTGCCCTTTTCTCTATTTCTTCCTTTTTCCTTCTCTCTTCCCTCTTTGTATTCTCTCTAAAACCAGGACTGACAGGCAGTTCCTAAGGGACTGGCTAGCTGTGTATGCTAAGCCCCTGTTGAAGTTGTTGTTATGCACAAGCAGCACTAGTAGACCACAGCTGAGGCATAGTAGAACCCAATTAGAGACTTGAGTTCCATATAATCTTCATGTATCACAGAATATTATTGTTTTGATTCCTTTCAACCATTTAAAGATGTAGAAACCATTCTTAGGTCAAGGACTTTAAGAAACAGATGAGAGGCTAGATTTGACCTATGAGTCATAGTTTGCCAATCTCTGCTCTGGACCGTGTGTTAAATATCTTGTGTTTGTCATAACCTACCTTTAGGCAGTGTTCTATTGCTCACCATGTGTGTAAGAACTCTGCAATGACTTCTTTTAATTTCCCTTCACTAACTTTTGTTATTACTCTTTTATGCATTCCATGCCTATATTCTATTGCCAGTTACTTCTGCTTTAAATTAAATTTTAAAGGGGCAGGCCTGGGCATGGTGATGCATGCCTTTAATCACAGCTTGGGAGACAGAGACAGGTGTATCTCTCTGAGTTTGAACCTGGTCTACAACTCACATTCCAGGACTGCCAGGACTATGTAGAGAGACCCTATCTTGAAAACAAAAAAGAAAGTTGATGAATTGGTTGATGAATAAAACACTGTTGGGCAATGACTAGGGCTTCTTATTGGCTAGCTTTGTCTCAATTATTAACCAATTTCTGTCAGTCTATGTATTGCCACAAGGCTATGGCTTACCAGTAATGCCCAGCATTACTCCTCTGGCAGCATCAAGACTCTGGCCCCCTGCCTTCCTTACCCAGAATCCTCCTCATCTCCTAGTCCCACCTATCTTCCTGCCTCGTTGACCGAACAGTGTTTTATTCACCAATCAATAAGAGAAACATATACAAAAGGACATCCCCATCAGAAAGTGGCAGCCATTGTCTTTAGTTGTTTCCCCACTGGTAGCCCAGCAGCCTCTGTGGATGGCTCTAGACCACCCAGGTGGCCCTGGTTAAACTAAGTAGATCCCAAAACAAAACAAAACAGATGTGGATGTAGAAATGGACCTTCTGGTGGGGAGCATAAGAACATATGTGAGAGTAGATAAGCAGGTCTTTGATGATGTTGAAGATTAGACTGTCAAAGTTATTGTCCTCTCTTCTTAGATAGAAATATTAGGTCCAATACTTAAACTTTCCAGTTTAGGACAATTTTGTAGTAATCTCTGTTGCGCCTTTACCCTAGGACTGCACATGTAAGTCTTGCCAATTGTTCTGTGTTGCTTCACTGGCAGTAGGTCTTAAATTGTGTATGTTTTTACATTTCCTTCTCCTAGAGCATACTTGATATTTGCTATCATTGTATATAGTTTTGTATTAAGCCTAAACCTTCTTTAGACTAAAAGGGGAATTGTAGTGATAATATTCACCTCTGCACCTGTAGCACTGATCATGCCTTTTGGGCGTGGTCACAGGTGCAGATATGATCTGTCAAACAAAAAAGAATGGGGGGTGGGGTGGTCAGAAGCCCCTTTGGGTCTCAGGAAGCAGGATCTGTCTCTTTGGAGCAGGAACACCGCAGCAGTTACTTTTTATTTTCTGTGTAAGTTATTTACTAATAAGTTCCACTTCAATTATACTAGGTCTGGTGAATTCTAATTTCCACACCTTCAATCAATTTCAATATATGAAATTGTCAGAGAGCTCTTTGTGTGTGTGTGTGAGAGAGAGAGAGAGAGAGAGTGTGTGTGTGTGTGTGTGTGTGTGTGTGTGTGTGTGCGCGCGCGCACGCGCGCGAATGCGAGTGTGTATTGGTCAGAGGAGAGCTTGCTGGAGTTGGTTCTATTCCTTCCACTACGTGGGTTCCAGGGATTGAACTCAAGTCTTTGAGATTGATGGCATGTGCTGAGAGTCATGTTGCCAGTCTGAGAAATTCTAAAAAAGAGAGTAAGATTTTTGCATTTACCCACACGGTTTCCATTTCTGGTGCTCTTCATTCCTTTATGTTGATGCACATTTTTTCCCACTTAAATTTGCCTGTATTTGTAACTTAACTCTTCTGTGCAGTGCCAGCCAGGAGATGCCTGGTGCTTTTCTGTCTTTACTTGAGTATGACTTTACTCAAAAAGAAAAAACAAGCTTAGAATTGGCATGCCAGGATTCACTGTGATGGATGGTGAGTAACTCCCTGCTTTGTGCTCTAAATCAAGAAAAAACACAGAAATCACAAATGAATCAAATTCTACAATTTAGTTAGCATAATAATATTTTAAATTGTGCTTGTAGGAAACTAATTGAAATAAATTCACACTCTCTTTCTGCCTGCGGGTCTATCTCTTGAGGCATAGTCCCTGGCTCCAAAAAGTAACCCAGAAGCTATCTCCAGTAGACAACTGCTCACAAAGGAGAAATTAGTTTCTCCAAGGGAGTCTCACTGGGTATACAAACCCTGGCAATAGATGGCCAACCCAAAATGAACTCCAAGCTATTTTTGGAGTGGTTAATTGTTTGGTTGTTTTTTGTTGTTTTGTTGGTATTGGTGGTTTTTGTCTCATAATCTTTGTTTGGGCATTTTACCATACTGGTCTTTTACTTATATATTGTGATTTCCAATTCTGTGCTTTTATGGTGTTTGTGTTTCTTTGCTTTTCTTTGTTGTTTACTTGTTTTATTCTTGTTTGTTTTTTTTTCTATTTGTCTGTTTGTTTTTTAAAGAGAGACAGAGAAAGAAAGCATGCGGTTGGAAGGGCAGTGAGGACATGGGAAGAGAGAGGGAGGGAAAACCAAAATCAGAACATTTTCTATTGATGTGGTAGTGCACGCCTTAAATTCCAGCACTCAGGAGGCAGAGACAAGTGAATCTCTGTGAGTTGGAGGCCAGCCTGCTCTACAGAGTGAGTTACAGGATAGCCAGGGCTTTATAGAGAGACCATGTCTCAAAAAAACAAAACAAAACAAAACAAAAACAAAAAACAATAAATTAATTAATTATGATAAAAAGTAATATGTAGTGTTTGAAATTTTTATTTTCTATGAAAAAAAACTCTTACATTATTCCAGTACATTAATAGCAGCATACTTTTCCTCTCCCTTCTCCCCCCTTTCCCTCCTTCTTCCCTCTTCCCTCTGTCTAAGCACAGGACTTTTGTTGGTGTTCCTTTATCAGTCACTCATATTCCGTGTTTTCTTTGTATTAGGTACTGGCAAACTTAAAAGAATAAGGATAAAGTGTTAGGCTGAAGTACCTTTGAGGTGTTTTGGGGTTTTGAGGCAGGAGCTCATTATGTAGCCCTGACTGGCCTAGAACTTGCTATTGTAGATCAGGCTGACCTGGGATTTGCTGTGATCTTCCTGCCTCTGTGTTCCTGTGTGAAGGCTGAGATTACAGGCATATGCCACCAAACCTGGCATATCTGACAGTTTGGAGTTCATAAAAATGACAGTGGTGCTGGGGACTGGTCAGTGGATAAAGTGCCTGTCGTGTAAGTGTGAGGACCTAGGTTTGGATCCCAGCCACATGAAGCCAAATATTGAAGGGCAGCCTCCATGGTAAAGTGAGAAACAGAAGAATCCCAGGAAGCGTTTGAACCAGCTAGCCTGAAGTATGGTCATAGCTGCAACAGAAGAGACTGTTTCAAACAGGTGAAGATGAAGATCAATGCCTAAGGTTGTCCTCTGCCCAGCACCACACGCTAGCTGTGGTACATACATGCTTGCTCTTCTATTCTCCCCTCTCTCTCTGTCTCTCTCTCTCTCAAACACACACACAGATATTTTATTACATGGTTTTTATTCCACATCTATTTTTTTTTTTTTGCAGTAAACAGCACATAACATTTTTCATCTTAGCCATTTAAAGACATATTTTAGTCATATTAAATATATTCTCATTGTGAAACAGGTCTTCAGACCTTCGTCTTGTAAGAATGAAATGATACACTTATTAAAAAGAATGGAATGGTATACTCACTGAAGAATAAAAATGAAATATTAAACTCATTGAAGAGTTAAGAATGGAGTGGTATTTATACTCATGAAAAGGTAAAACTGAAGTGATGTTCTCACTGAAAAGTGAGAACAAGATGATATTTCTGGGGCTGGAGAGATGGCACACAAGTTGAGAGCACTGGCTGCTCCAGGCCCAGGTTCAGCTCTCAGCTCTGTGACTCCAGTCCCAGGGGATCCAGTGCCCTCTTCTGACCTCTGCTGGCACTGCACATCGATGCACAGACATACATTCAGGCAAACACTCACACACATAAAAATTAAATCTCAAAAAAAAAAAAAAAAAATTAAAGCATGATATTCCCACTGAAAAGTGAAAATGAAGTGATATACTCATTTGAAAAGCAACTTCTCATCCCCACAACTGTCCATCTCCAGAATTTTTTTTACCTTTACAATCCGTAACTAATTCCCCCATTAAATAAATAATAATGCCACATTCTTCATTCTGCTCAGTGATTTAACTAATCCTGGTAACTCATGGAAATGCAGTTCTATAGTGTTAGCCCTTTGTGTGCCTGGCTTATTTCACTTAGCAAGCTGCTGCTCCTGCGCATCTGTAACAAGGGGAAGGGGCTGCTGAGCACTTTCAGGTATTTTAGGGAGTTCTTCGTGTAGGATTTGGAACAAAGTGCTGCTCTGCTAAGCTGTGTAGGTGTTAGTGTGATGGACCTCTGTGTCTAATTTGGCTCCTCTTTTGCATCACCAGGGCTCATGCAGAGTCTCCAACGTGTGTCAACAACAAAAAGACTGACACTGGTGATAAAAGCAAGGCTAAAGACCAAGAGGAAGTCTGCAGCCATGAGGGAAGGGCTGCGGACACTGGGACCGAGCCTTGTCCAGAAGAGAAGAAGAAGCGTTCTGGATTCAGAGACAGAAAAGTATGGAGCAGAGTTTTGCTAGTAAATCAAAACTGTGTCCTAAGGAGAGTTGTGCTGTCCCATCTCCTCGTCTGTGTTTCAAATGGGTCACAAGTCACTCCTGAGTTGTTCTCCTCTCTACTATTGTTGTGAGCCAAGGGTACACTGGGAGTGTGAAGTGTGATGTGACAGAGTCACAACACACATCACACACATGTACACACACGTACATGCATTTACACACATACTCGTCTACTCACCCCAGATAGTGAGCCCATGATAGACCAAAGTACAGATACCACCAGAGGATAACTAACTTGATGAACTAGTGTTTTATTGGGGTTATTTACAGGACTATGAATGAGGGGTTCCTTACAGAAGCAGAAATGACTCAAAGACAGCTGCATCACCCAAGCCCACCCCAGCATAGGAAACAGCTCACAAAGCTAGAGCCCAGAGCATGCTGCACAGGCTACAGAGTATCCTTTCCAGGTGGCTCAGATAGTCTAAACTTCTTAGGGTAACTCAGCTACTTGGCTGGTCTGAGAGTGGCTCTCAGCAGTTTCTACTATTTACTCTTGGAAGCAAGAGGCCTAGTGAATTGGTGTGTTTCCTAGAGTTGGTTTGAGTTGCTTACTTTCTGTCTTTAGGAGCTTCCCTGGAGGATAGACTGTGTTTGACCTCAGCTACTTTCGAGGTGAAGTGAAAGTGAGCAGACATCGTCTAGGGTTCATCTTCAGGATGAACACACTCTGTTCTTTCAGGTCAAGCTGATACTTGCTTTCGTGTCTTCCTAAAGTGTAACATTATCATAGATACTGAGCTTGTGATGTTTCTGGTTTGCTGTGTCAAACTGTAAAGGGAGACTATGTGTGGGGGAACATACAGTTACTAGAAAGCCAAATAGTTGTGGACGGCGTAAACTGCCCACATCCCCGTGTACTGCAGCTCAGGGTAACCTGTGCCCACAGCCCCATGTACTGCAGCTCAGGGTAACCTGTGCCCGCAGCCCCGTGTACTGCAGCTCAGGGTAACCTGTGCCCACATCCCCATGTACTGCAGCTCAGGGTAACCTGTGCCCACAGCCCCATGTACTGCAGCTCAGGGTAACCTGTGCCCACAGCCCCGTGTACTGCAGCTCAGGGTAACCTGTGCCCGCAGCCCCGTGTACTGCAGCTCAGGGTAACCTGTGCCCACAGCCCTGGGTACTGCAGCTTTACCTCAGAGAAGTTTCTTTTCTGATCTGATGATGCCTGTGATGTCAAACTTCAGAGTTTGACAAACACTCAAAGAGGTTATTTCTTAGACAGCTTGCTTGTTGGGAATAAAATTTTCAGTTGCTTCCAGCTTCAGAAATATAAAAGCTACAGCAGGGCAACTTATTTGCCATGTGCTCTATTTTGTGTCTCTGAAAGAATCACTCCTTCAATAAGTACATACCTTTTTAGATGAACTTACACACAGTTTGTCTAAATCCATTTGTGACTGAGGTGAATTTGAACAAAAGTTTGTCACAACTCAAAATTCCTAGCATGCTGTCAGCTTCATTTACACACTTACATGTTAGAAATAGAATGGGATGACTCAGATCAACATTAGTTAACCCACTTCCATTTATAGCCAGTTGTCTCCTTAGCAGATGACAGTGTCTCCTGCTTCACAGGGACACTAAAGCTACCAGTGTGATTTATTTGTAATTCCTGAAACTGTAAAACCTAATTGGGTGAGGAAGAGCCTTCTCCCCCCTCCCTCTGTTGAAGGGTAACTGTTGTTCATTGCCATTCCCCAAGAATTATTTTATCACTCATGTCCGATTTTTTTTTTTAGCTACTATTCATTTAAGTAACATATAAACATGGTAAGATTTTTTTCTGCCTATAGTTTAATGATCATAATCACAGTTTATTAATATCAAAATTTGTTTTAGTATTTTGGTTTTTAAAGACAGGAAATATATAACAGTTTATAAAAGCAAAAATTACAGTATGTATACAAATCCATCTAATAAGACAAATGAGATCTTTTAAGTAAAGCCAGAATACTTCTTAAAAGACTAAGTCTGTGAAGATGGTCGGTGGGAAAGACCCTTGCTGCCAAACCTTGTGACCTGGGTAGATCTCTGGAACCCAGACCACAGTGGTGAGAGGATAACCAGCTCCCACTAGTCCTCCTCAGCCCCCCACGTGTACACAGTGTTATGCTCATCTCCACATAGACACACAGACACGCAAAAATATTGTGTGATAAACTATTTTTTTATTGTAAGCCTATTAAAAACCATCTCAGGCTGGGTACTAATGGCCCAGTACTCAAGAGGCAGAGGCAGGCTGATCTCTATATGAGTTCGAGGCCAACCTGGTCCATAAGAGCTAGTTCCAAGACAGCTAGGTCTACACAGAGAAACCTTGACTTGGGGTGGGGCTGGAGGGGGGCAGGATCTGTACTACTCTTAGGTATTCAGGAGTTTGCATCATTTTTAAAAGAGACCATATCTTTGAAAAGCTCCTACGTGCCTCCCATGTATGAGGCAAAGCATGCTCAATTCTTAAGCAGTTGCTGTTTTACTATAACAAAGTTCTTTCTTCCTTGTCCATATCTCATGTATAGCCTTGATCCACAACTTTACTTCTGCTATTCATGTATGGGTTTTGTTTAAATTGTTTTCCTACAAAACAAAATATGTATGTAGGGTGCCACAAATGGATTAGATTCTTTGTATGTATTTTCTTTTGTTTTTCAATGATCCTCCTGCCTCCACATCCTGAATGCTATACCATACCCCAATACAAGTAGATTGTTATAATTACTTTCTTTTATATTTAAAACTATTTAGACTTTGCATTTTTCAGTCTGGCAACTTAAGCCATGACCCAGGACATTGCCTTTCCAGGAACAGTGTAGCTCACTGTTATCTGTCACTGCAATTGGTCCTGCTAGCTTTTTAGTTCCTTGTTGTTTTGTGATATTAGACCCAGTTGTTTTCAGAGTTAACCTCTGTGAAGGTGATGATGGCACACAACTTGCTGTGGACCAGATGTTCCAGCCTGGCCTTCCCCTTGAGGAAGCCTGAGGGAAACCCTATCTTATGTCACAAGGCAGGCAGAAGCTAACCAGGTCTATGGCATCTGGGTCATGTGTAGCTGAGTGGTATTTTTCCCCTAAGGCAGGAAGAGTTTTAACCCCACTCAGGACAGCAGCCTCTTAGTCAGGCCATCCCTTTACTGGTAGCCACCTTCTCAATCTAGGCAAACAGTTGATCTGCTCCCTTGCTGTGTTTCTGTCCTGTACTTGTCAGCCATTTTACACAGCTGGATAGTTATTGGGTGGTCTAAGGCCTAGGGGGTCTGTCTAATGGCAGGAGACACTTTGAGCTGCTTTGATAGGAGAGTCCCATGTGCTGCAGCTGGTGGAGTGGAGACTGGGTGGTCAGGATTTATCAATTTCTAGGTCTCTTGATCCATACCAGCAGCTGGACAAAGGCTACCCTCCTTCCCTGGCTTTCTTTCACCACTGTGGGCAGTGGGAGAGTGAGCTTGTTCACTTTATCACCTGAATCAAGTGTTTGTCATCAAATGTGTATAGTTTGATCTTGCTGTTTTAATGTTAGCTTTTCCCCCTTCATGCTGAGAATTGAACTTAGGACCAAGCATAAACTCTATAATCAAAATATTTTCCTCCCAACCTAATGATATGTGTTTTAATTCTCTTGATATACAGGGGACAGGCTCCAGGCCATTTAACGTTTAACATTTCCTATGGTTGGGTTTATTGACGCTTATCTTATGTCATTCAGTTCTCCTGTCTCTGTATTACTTGAATATTGTCAGTGGGACACTGAGGCTTGATTAGACTTGTGTTTGGTCCCTGTAGCCAAGCTAATGGTGGCAGTGTTATTTCCTGTTATCAGTAAACACGTAACGTGTTTCCTCTTCTTCTTCCTCTCTTTTTAATTATTTATTTTTATGTGTGTTTAGATATGTTTATCTTTATGTGTATGAGTGTTTGCTTTCATGTATATGTGTGCACCATGTGTGTGGAGGCCACAAGAGAGTGCCAGGTCCCCTGGAACTTAAGTTACATACAGTTGTGAGATAGCATATAGTTGATGTGATGGAACCCAGGTTCTGAAATAGCAGTAAGTGCTCTTGACCATGGAGCCATCTCTCCAGCTCCTTATTTTTCTTTTTAGGGGCTATGGTTATAAGTCCTTTCTGGCTACTGGTTAGTGTAGTTCACATAGGAAAATTAATCCCTGAATTTGAACCACTTATACTCAGCAGTTTTATGGAAGATACATTTTAACATAGTGATGCTTAAGAAAGACTGATACATGTTCTCTTGGACTCTGGTCCTGAATTCCTTCTGTAGTGATTTGGAGAAAGCACAGAGTCACTAAAAGGAAGCAGAAATTGATATGGAACAATCTTCAGGATAGGATTTAAGTTAGAAAAGGCAGGTACATTCCAATTGCTACCAACATGTACATACCAAATGCTACCAGTGTGTACATATCAAATGCTACTAATGTGAGGATTTTAAATCTGTTACTTTTTTGAACCTATTGTTTCAGAATAAAACTTTGTAACTATAAGAACCATTGATTTCTATTGACACTACAGCAGCTGAGTGAGGTCATGGACCTTTGTCCTAGCACTCAGGAGACAGAGGCAGGCAGATCTATGAATGTCACATACTGTGACACTGCCTCAGAGAAAAAACAAAACTATTGTAGCGGGATGTATATACTCAGATTGTGGTCAGATTAATAGTGTTCTCTAACACAATTTAATAAATATTACAACAGTCCAGAAACCTGATTCCCAGGCTTGAAACTCCTGATATTATTTTTTTATGATCTTACCTTTCTGCCTTGAATATTGTTGATTTAACCTTTTAGTTCACAAAACCCTCTTGCCCTAAACATTCCGAACCCCTCTCTCTCTGCTCTCTTCTTCTCTCCCTTCTCCTATTCTTGTCTTTAGAGAGGGTGCAAGAAATACAAATGGGCCATAGAAATGTTATTTCTTCAGTAAACACTATTGCCAGCAAATAGGCATAGTCTAAGGTGTAATGCCTTTGGTCTAAGACCTGTAGCCAAGCCTCAAGGCTGTGCAGAGATTAAATAGTTCTTTCTGTGTTTGTCATGTGCTCAGTTTTTTAGCCTTCTGTGAAATCTCAGACTTGAGATTTTTTTTCTTTTAATTTATACCTATATGTGAGTGTTGGCATGAAATATGTGTCCATGCACCATATTCATGCACTAACTTCAGAGGCCAGAAGAAGGCATCAGATCCCCTGGAACTGGAGTTACAGGGAGTGGAAGCCACCTTATAGGTACTGGGAATTGAACCCCGGTCCTCTGGAAGAATGCCCAGTGCTTTTAACCTCAGAGCCATCTCTCCAACTCCCTAAAATCTCAGCTTTTAATGCAAGTTCTCATTGAATTCCTGTTGTGTGGAGTTACAAATTGGCAGTTCGTCCTCAGTTGCTGAAACCACATTTGATAATAGAACTAAGACCACTGCTAAACAGCTGCTGCCAGTGACCACCAAGTGTCTATTCAGGGTAACAGATACAATAATTGCTGTGTTAATTGGAAACATTTAACATATGGATCATTTTGGAAGTATTATCTGCTTTATAGACATGGAACTAATGAGTTTTTAGGTTTTATTGCATTGACACATTTTTTTTATAAGATATTATTTAGGACTGGGGATGCAGCATTCACACAGTTATGGTTTGATCCCTAGAGATTTACAAAGTACTAGGTGTGGTACTATACCCTGTTAATGCCTGCATTTGGGAGTCAGAGGCAAAAGGATCCAAATTTCCAGGGCTTCCTTATCTACAAAGCAAGTTTGAGCCCAGCTGACAGACTTGGGATCCTATCTTAAAGTAACAACAACAATAATAATAATAATAATCGTAATAATGTAAAATACATTTCAAGTATTAGAGACATTTTCACTAAAATGTGTAATTGGTATAGTATTTGTATGTTTTGTACTCAGAACAGAGACTCACATGTCAGACATTTGAGCTGTCATAGTAATATGACAGACTTTTAATTAAGTGTAGCCATGCTTGATTGTTGCTATTACTCAAACATTTGTGTGCTGCCCTCCGTTTCTTTCTAGATAGGCTGCCTGTGAAGGTTTTCTGGGAATATACCTAATAATTAGTTTAAAGTGCTTCAGACCTGTTAATAACTGAACTTCCATAATGCACAGCTTTATTTTTCCATGTTATTGTTTTATGTATTTTGTCTTACAAGGTCTGCTAACCATCCAAACCTGTGAAATTTCAAGTCTATTTTCAGGAAAATCCACAGAAAGTGAATCCCTTCTTAAAAGTTATTATTTAAGAGCCTGTAGAGTACTGTATGCAGCAATTCTGTTTGAGGCCTTTTGAATTCTTTTTTTTTTTAATTTATTTTATATAACAAAGTCCAATTAAATGAAAACAAACATTTATACACAATATTTGGGAAGCCTTTTGAATTCTTCAGTGGTGTTTTTAAATTTTGCTAGCTTTCAGTAACTAGAAAGTTTTTTGGTTTTTGTTGTTTTTGTTGTTTTGATTTGTTTTGTTTTTTTCAAAAAAAAAAAAGAGCTCTAAACAAAATTCTATGACCCTTGCTTCAATTATTCAATTAAGGTATGAATGATATCTTGCAAGAAAGAAATTTAAAATCTTGAAATTGAGCTTATTTATTTTATATATATTTTAAAAATCCAACTACAGGGAGATGATCAGCTTCTCCCAAAAATAAGTTGAGCAAAAATGAGAATTGGTGAACTTGAGCATAGCTTAACATAGTAACATTCTCTCGCTTTCTTGTTTCAGGTGATGGAATATGAGAATAGGATCCGAGCCTACTCCACACCAGACAAAATCTTCCGATATTTTGCCACCTTGAAAGTAATCAGCGAACCTGGAGAAACGGAAGTGTTTATGACCCCACAGGACTTCGTGCGATCTATAACACCAAATGAAAAGCAACCCGAACGTAAGATGCTAGCGTGAGGGACAGGCATGGGGAGCTTGTTTATTAAGGCTGCTTTGTGTCCTTCTCTGGACTTCCTGAAATGTATGGGTCCAAGCAATAAATAAAATCACCATTTAACTGTTAAATGCTTGGAGTCATGCTCAGCTTCTACAGTCCAGTATGGAAGCCTTGTTTAGCAGAACTAGCTGAGATAAGTATGTGGAAGAAGCAGCATCAAGATAAACAGTTAAGGATGCCTTTAGGAAAAACTGTGAGAAAATGATTGAGTAGGTTCTTCCCAGTGTCAGTGTTTTGATTTACTTGGCAGTATTCCACACTTACTGGGTCCAACATTTAAGGAAATATAACAGGAACTGCATGAGGATATGACAAAGTATGTAATTTTCATACAAATACTTTGAGAAAGTCACTGAAAACTGATGACTGTAGTCTTTAACAGCAGCTGAGCCCTAGGGAAGAGAGAGTCTGATCTCTTTTCCTCTGTATAGTAAAAATACCCAAGTTTGACAAGAAATTGTGTTATATAGCCATCCTAACAAACCAGAGAGTCTAATCCATTAACAGGATCAAAAGACCTGGATAGTAATCACCCTGCTTTGCCCAGTAGGACACCTGAGGTAGACAGTGCATGGACAATGACTGTTCCCAAAAGAACAGTTAAGATATTTCCATATAGCTGAAGCTGTGGTCGCTTGTTAGTAGTAGACTTCTCCTACACAGAGTTGAAAGATGGTCCTATGTTGACGTGAAAGGACATGACACAGCAACTCAATACCACACAAAGCATTAAACAGCAAGCAAATGTATAAATCAATATAGGCTAAACACCCTGAATCTATGATCTGTAATCCAAAATACTCCAAAATCTGAATTGTTTGAAATGTCAGTGTGACATTATCACTGGATAATTCCCAACATGACTCCCTTGTGAATTGCAGTCAAAACAACAGTGCACAAAAAAAAAAAAAAAATCATCTAAAATTATCAGTGTGCTATGTGTATAGGATGCATATATAACATAAATATATGTGATACTCAAGTCGTACCTCCTTCTCCACTCTACTGAACTCTCCTGAATGGCTGCTTCTGCTACATCAACTCTGGCATCTTGGGTAGGCTAAGAAGAGAGCCCTGGCTATCTAGAGTGGAAAGGATGAGTAATATGCCTTCATTTGGATTTTCTTTTCCCTGTTTCACCTCCATTCTTCCACATTGATCCCATACCTTTTAGGAAGCCTGAAGAATGCAGGTCACTTGTATTGCAGAATTTCTCCCCTCAGCATTTTACTGCTTATATCCCTATGATATTTAATGTGTATCTTGGTCCTCTGTGTTTCATCTACGTAGAAAATACACAGAAAGTTCTAGAAAAGGACACTACCATAATAACTGTGAATGTTGAAATCAGGATATATTTTATTCTTCCTCAAATGTTCCTAATGGGCTTCTTATATATTCATTCAAGAAGAAGTATTGAGTTGCTTTCAAAGAGTTTTATAATAAGATATACCAAACTTTGTATTAATTGCATTGAACTTTCAATGTAGATCCTTTTAAAATATATATTTAATGGGGATATATATGTATATATACGTGTGTGTGTGTGTGTGTGTGTGTGTGTGTGTGTATCAAAGGATAACTTCAGAGAGTTAGTTCTCTCCTTCCACCATATGGGTCTTGGGTATCAAATGCATGTGGCCAGGCTTAGTGACCAGCACCTTTAATCACTGAACCATTCAACCCAAGATTTAGAGCCTCATGAATTTGCTTCAGCAACTTGTTCTGTGACGTGAGAGGGAAGAAAGCAGAGCAGGGTATACCTAGAAGAAAAGCTTAGAAAGATTTTCCTGTTGTTTTGTTTTTAATGATAGCATATCATTTATGCCTGCAAGACAATAACTGTCCAGCTAACAATCTCCTTTCTATTAGCAACATGAAAGACTAGGCTTTGCTCCAGTATGACAATGAAAATGAACCAATATTTTTAAGGTAGGCCACTGAAGACAGTTTCCTTGCAAAAGGAACATTATCTTTATTTCTTTGGAAACAATTCTATTTTCTGGTTGTCTTCATTTATCCTGGCATTTAACTTTGCTGCACTTTGCCGTTTAAGTACTTGTTCTTATGGTGGGAGTTGAATTCAAGGCTTTCTGCATGTGTGTAAGCACTCTACCACTGTGCTTAATCCCCAGGCCCTGCCCCGCCTGCTTTTTCTTAATTACTAAAAGATCTACATACACTGAATAGTTACTGAAAGTGCAGTATCCAAGCACCCTTCTCATTTTCATGAGAAGCTAGAATAATGAATAAGTGCTTTTCTTTTGTGAGTCATGAGAAATATTTCTGATATATCAAAATAAGATCTTATAGGAAACTGGATTCATTTTCATCTGCTCATTAGCAAGAATGTTGATACAGCAAAATAAAGTATGCTCTTCCTATACATGAGGTGGAATGAAGAAGAATAAGGTGGTAGATTTCTGGAGTTTAAATTTCTGTCTTCAGTTGGTTGGTCTCTTTCAACTTTTTTTGTCATGACTTCACACGTACTATATATCTATCCCAGGAACCCAGCAGATCTAAATCTGTTGAGTTTTAGTTTTAGAACTTTTAAAATAATCACGAAGCACACAATACATAAAGCCCTCAAATTAGACAATTTTGAAATGAGCTCATGAATTTCAGGGTAAAAAGGTAAATATAATACTTCTGTACTAAATATCAAAAATGTGTATACAGAAAGTAGCCATAGTTAAATGTGAAGAACTTGAAAAGGAAAAAAATCCTATGCTTCTTGAACACATCTCAGCCTCCTCTATGAAATTAGTGTGTCACTGCCGTCCCTGGCTATAATTACATTGACTCAGGTGACTACTTCAGGCTGTGGGTGTGGAATGGCAAATATTGCAGTAAAAACTATTTCTTTCTCTCCAGGTGTGGTAGGAGGCAGAGGCAGGCAGATATCTGTGAGTTCAAGGACAGTCTGGTCTACAAAATGAGTTCCAGGATAGCTAGAGCCACACAGAGAAACCCTGTCTTGAAAAACCAAAAACTAAAACCAAACAGATAGCAGTTTGATGATGTAGGTAACTAGAAGCATGGGGTGAAGTTAACAGTTCCATGAAAACAAAGGACTTTTGGGCCAAGCACAGCATACCCTGTGGTCTCTGTTTCCTTTGCATTGTATCAGCCTGGTTCACTTTTCATCCTGGGATGATTTCCTCTACATGGGAGAATAAAAGTGTGAATGAAGAAGCAGGTCTCAGTGTATGACTCGGGTGTCGTGGAGTCCATATTCCTCTAAGATGACCCTTCACCGTTTTAAGGATAATCTTGCCTATAAAAAACACTTCTAGTGACATAATTTTATATTTGATCAGGTATTGAAAATATATTTTGAAGTACTGTTTTTCTCCATCTATCTACTGTGTTTGGCATTTATTTATTTCCTTACAGGGTTTCACTATGTCTGCTTTTATTTTTAATCCCCTGCAGTACTGTTTCCTATAGATTAACTGCAGCCAACTCCCTGATTCTTTGTGGCCCATTAACAGAGAACGATGTATAAGTTTTTTTAAAGGGAAGGAGGAACACAAGACTATTTTACAACATTTAAGAATTTTATACAGTTCAGATTTCAGTGTTCATAAGAAGTTTTATGGGCATAACACACTAATTTCTGTGTGGCGGTTTGGGAGCTTTAAGAGCAGAGTGGACTAGTTGTAACAGACCATAAGCATTTGGCCTATAAACTTGAAGTATTTGTCTTATGTTCTTTCAAAACAGAAAATGTGCTAGCCTGTGTGGGAGTTAAACATGGGCTTCCTGAATGTGTGTGTTTTCACAAAATTAATACCATGTTCAGAAATCTAAGCATTTCCAAAACAGTGCTAACTTTCAGAAACACTTTGAGCTATGATACGATGTTGTATAAGGAGTAGCCAACATTTTTTTTTTTTTTCTGTAAGGGACAGGGTCTCACTCTCTATCCTAGATTTGATTTACAGCAAAGTTTATTTTGTTTTAAAGTACAAATAGTAAATATTTAAGACTTAGCAGGCCAAAAGGCAAGGTAGCTAAGTATTACTCTTAACTCTGGGGCTCTAAGGAAAAAGAAAAACAGTGAGTTGGTGGATGTGGCCTGAAGGCCGTCACTTGCCAAACTGTCCCTTCTGTGAACTTGTTAGGACCAAATGATGTAATATGACTTGCAATAAGAATTACTAGCACTGTGATTAGATTCCCCTGCTGATATGAAGGACCCCAAAGCCTTTGGTGAACATGATTTAAGGAGAAAAGTGGTATAAGTTGAAGTTAGTTTGGAAGGTCTGTTATGGTTATAGACATAACTGATAAGTCATAATTACTCAATAAAAGTATTGAGTTTAAAAGTTGACACCAGTGGACATGCCAAACCAGATGGGAAAAAGCCCACATGGCCTCCACCCTACATAAAGAACTATGGGCAAGTGAGGAATGCTGGGGGTAGGAGAGGAGGTCTTCCCTGTACAAAACGTCAGCCCTGAAAACACACATACAAGTAATGTTACATGGACTGACCAGATTATATTTAGGAATATATATGTATATACACCATATATTATTTGCATGTGATAACAATGAAAAGAAAATCAGCCATGAATTTGAAGGAGAATGGGGAAGGATGTATTGAGAGGGTTTGGAGGGAGGAAAGGAAGGGGGAAAATGTGGTAATTAAAGTATAATCTCAAATCAAATTTTTTTATATTTCAAAGTATTGTTTAGATATCTGATAGCTTTGTGACCTAGATTTATTCAGCATCATTACTTTTTCATTTGTGTGTGTTTATGTGTGTATGTGCACATACATATGTGAGCATATTTGTGTGCACATATATATGTATGCATATAGAGACTAAAAGTCAGCTTTGATTTTTAGAGCCTTACATTAACCTGAAACTTGAAGACTTGGGCTGGCTGTCTCTACCTCCCAGCTGCAGGATTACAAGCCTGTGTTGTGCCACCACACCTACTTTTATCATCATATTTCTCATGAACTTTATATACCAGTTCATATGTATTAGACCTACACCCAAAGCTAAATATGCATGAGATATGTTGAAATCTGAAACTCTGATTATAAAAAAGATTAACACTTAGTAAAGGCCAAGTAGTTCATGATTAAAGAATGTAAAGGCTCATAGAAGATAAACTGGATTATCATTCAAATTGACTAAAGGACAGACAAACTGCAATGTTTAAGATTATGTGTTTCATGTTCCAGATGTTTTAAAAACATTTGAAACACTGCAATTTTCTATTGTACAATAAAGTTATCTTGTTGAAAAACTGACTTTGTCTCATTGTGAAAGACCTTGAGGTTTGTCACAGTTTACACATTATGAACATATTAAATGGCTACTTGTAATAATCCACTTTCATAGTCTTTGAGTAAGCTGAAGTGGGTAAACTGCTGCACTTGTATGTGAGCACACTGCCCTGTTGCTCTCAGTAGAAGTGGCGTGGTCACTGCCCAGCTGTTCTGTGTTCTTGTGAACTGGTGATCTTTGTACTATCGTGGTTTGGCGTCTAAAAGTTAGTTGTCTAAGCAGGTGACAGAAGGAAATATTTGAACTGAGGAAGATATAATGCCTTGGAAGAAGGCCTCTGGTTTCTTGTGTCCTTTTTAAGAGCACCTCAATACCTTTAGTGTATAGCTACCCCCACCCCATTCTTATATTCTTACGTTTTTCTGACTTATTTGTGAATTGTTAGAGTATTTTACTGTCTTTTAAGTGATCTTTTTGTATCTTGACTATATTCCTTTGAATGTATTTAGTGAATGTCATGGGGATTATACACATTTCTCAGGATGTACTATGAGAATTTAATTTTACCACAGTAAAGCTGTCCCACTTTGTGCTGTGGTGGCATCTCTCTCCATATCAAAAACTCACTTCAGACTGTTTATGTAAAGAATTTAAGAGAAGACAGTGATGTCTTGATTGACTGATGAACTTCCTGTTGCTCTTTTACTCTCTAGTTCCTGCTTTCCCTCTGCTGTCATTTCCTGTTTCCAGAGAATTAGTGTGACTTAGAGCAAATCTCCAGCACATGAAGTTGCTCTTTTCTTTCATCTTACAATTTTGTCTTTATTCTTTTGTTTGTTGTTATTGTTGTTGTTGTTATTTATTTTTTTCAACAGATCAGACCAACCTTGAACCCAGAGATCCACCTGCCTCTGCCTCCTTAGTGCTGGGATTAATGGTGTGTGCCACCACTGCCCAGTATTGTCTTTATTCTTTTTTATTTCCTTAAGATTTATTTTTATTTTATTTGCATTGGTGTTTTGCCTGCATGTATGTTTGTGTGAGGATGTCAGATCCCCTAGAACTGAAGATACAAACAGTTGTGAGCTACCATGTGGGTGCTGGGAATTGAACCTGGGTCCTCTGGAAGAGCAACCAGTGCTCTTAACCGCTGAGCCATCTTCCAGCCCCCCATTGTCTTTATTCTTTAAGAGTATTTTCACCAAAGAAGGAATCTAGGGTTAGAGTCCTTTTCTTTCAGCATTTGACCCAGCTGCCTCAAAGGTTTTCTTTGTCATTTTTTAGTAGTTGCTTTTATCATTTTTTAAATGTAGTTTATCTGTATGTGTGTGGGCAGTTGGGGAGGGGAACTTCTGGATATCTTAACTCTATAACAAAGTTGCCAAGGCAGAATAGTAAGTCAAAAGAATTAAGGTCCATCTCTAAGAGTTATGGATGTTTTAGGGAAAGGTAGACTTACCATCAAAGGACACTAAGTGATAAATCAAAATATATGAAGATGAATGCAAGGAAGTTGATCTTACACAAATTATTCAGTATTTCCAGGTCTTAATTCCCTCATTTGTGAAACTGAAATAATAACTAATTTATAGATCAGCAGTGGTGACACATGCGTTTAATCCCAGCACTCGGGAGGCAGAGGCAGGTAGATCTCTGTGAGCTCAAGGCCAGCCTGCTCTACAGAATTTGTTCCAGGATAGCCAAGGCAATACAGAAAGATCCTGTCTCAAGAATACCAAAACAAAACAAGAGCTGTCATGTATTTCTGGTGAATTATGATCAGAGACTAATTATTTTTCCTCTCTTTTTCAGACTTGGGCCTGGACCAGTATATAATAAAACGCTTTGATGGAAAGGTGAGCAAACTAGTCCACAGATGTCCTCATTTTTACTAAGAAGGTTTTCAAGTTCCTCTAAAATTGTGTGTGACAGATGCATGAATACCTGTTAGCTGCTGACAAAAGTGTGGTTAGGTTTGTGGGCCTGTGTCTCCAGGAGAATTCTACACAGGGAACCAAGCAGGTTTCTTGCTGAGTTTATTTGGTTGTTTTTAATGTTTTTCCATATAAGGTAACTAGTGGTTTGCCTACTCCATATATTAAGGCTGAATTCAGTGTTTGCTGACTTTTGAATATTAACACAAGAGTCATCATAATGATGAATGAGCTTCCAAGTATTACATTCACATTTCATATGAACATCTAGCTGATTGAACTTTCTGCAACTTTATAGCGATAATCATAACTATAAAACCATAAAGATCTGTATAGTGCTTTTGTAACAGTTATAAAGAGTCAGGCCCATCTGCTGAGCCTGCTTAGAGTTGCTTGTATGTATGTGATTTCAGGGCTGAACACTTGGAACTGGATAACCAATTAAGGGTTCACCCTTGCGGGATGACTGACTCTTCTTCTGTAGTCTTAGCCTAGGGGTAGAAGCCTATGAGATTTCTTCATGTCTATTGGTATGGTCAATGTTCAGGTCTTGTTTAATCAGCCATCTTGTTGAGGTACTATGAGTGTAACTTCCCTGTTACTTCTGGGAGACACAACCTCACAGCAGACTTCCTGTTCTTCTGGCTCTTAACACTCCCTTAGCCCCCTCTTCTATAGTGTTCCCTGAGCTTTTTGCAGGAGTTGCATTGTAGAAGAAACCAGTGGGTCTAGGCCCTCTACAGTCCATTGTTCTCTACATCTCAGGAGCTGTTCTCTGTAACAATCTGTCTGCTGCAGAGGAAGCTACACTTGCCTGTGGGTGAAGGATAAATACGGGGGCTGATTTTATGATTCCAGGGAACTGGTTCGGAGGAGGACGTATTCTAGAGGAATTTACTTTGCTTTTTAAATAGGCAGTTCTCTGTGTTTGTGTGTGTGTGTGTCTGTCTGTCTGTCTCATCTTGGAAGATATCTTGTATGACGTATTTAGAGAATTCCATCTTAGCTTTTTAAAGAAACAAAAAACAAAAACCTTGAAACTCAGCATTTAACAAGTCTATCATTTGACCATTGTTTTCTTATCGTATGTTAATAAGGTTTATATCAGGAAAAGCCAGGACAATTATAAAACAATATTCCTTGGAGTACTTTTTAATTTTTATAGAAATTTTATAGACCCCTTTACTTGTGAAACAAAAAAGAATGAACCACTTGATACTGACAAATGGCTGAGTGGTTTTAATGTTCTGTTTAATTAACTGGACATCCCTGATAAAAAGCAAATAAGATGTTCCTACTCCAACTGATGATCAGTAAAACTGAATTTGATTAAGCAGACTTTGCATTTTGGTGGGAGTCGTTTTCCAGAGCCCTTTCCTATCTTGTTAAGTGAGCATTAGCTCTTTAAGAATACTAGCTCTTGGCTGTGTGGTGCTAGTGGCACACAGCTTTAATCCTAGCCCTAGAAGGCACAGGCAGGTGGATTTCAGTGAGTTCAAGGCCAGCCTGGTCTACAGTGCAAGTTCCAGGACAAGCTCCAAAGCTACCCTAGAAACCCTGTCTCAAACAAACAAACCCGCAAAAAAAAAAAAAAAAAAAATACTAGCTCTTGTCTTTGGAGAAAAGTCACAGAAACACAGCAGCTCCACTTTTATCACCTATTTCTTTTCAAAGCTATTTCCTGAGGTCTCAAGTAAAAAATACTGACATTTTCAGCTAATGTCACTTGAAGAATAAGTTTTATAGACAAGTGACATTTTTAATATTCAGACTAGGGTTAAAAGTTTTAGAAGCTTCAAATCTTGAATGACTTCAGATTTTCTCTGATGATATATTTCATAAAAGCAAAACACCTTCACAGTGTTGGATACCTACACAAGTGCACCATCTACAGAGATGTACTCAGTCCTTTCAAGTCATTGTGTAAATAGCTTGTCCTAGTGGTTAATGGTACTTGGCAACAAGCCTCATGACCTGAGTTCTCTTACCAGAATCCACTGGTGGAAAGAGAAATGACTCCTGCAGGTTGTTCTCCAACCTCCACATGCACAGCGCCCTACACCTGGACATATGAACCACACACACACACACACACACACACACACACAAGTAAATGAAAAAAAAATCCTTTAAAAATTAAATAAGTAATAATTCATTAGTGCTATTAGAAATATGATAATATAGTACCTAGAAGCATCATATATTTTTAATGTACCCCTTCTAATACGCATATATTCTCCCAAGGTTTGTTAATGTAATTATTACATATACTATACATTATTTTTTATTAAAAACTTAATATTCATTTGATATTTTTAGCATCTAGTAATTGGCCTATAAAATAAAGTATTTATTTCCAAGTGGAGCCTTATTTTATAGTAATGTCAAATATCTAATCTTAGTTGCTATCTTTTGTTGGTTTGACTCATTTCAAGTGGTTTATAATCTGTTTCCCATTTTGTCTAACTCCTTTTTTCTTGGCCATATAAATATAGAAGTTGTGCTAAGTATTTTCTATTCCTATGACTCGTGATAAGCAGCACTCTTGGAATCAGACATTGACACATTTTCTTCAGACATCGAAGTGGAGAACTGCATGGTGTAGATGTGATTGCTTCCTGAGCAGGGATGCTGAGATACAGTGATGCTGACTCCAAGCTTTGATGGCACCCTGGTCTTCTCTTTCAAAGGCGATTAAGCCCCTGTTTGCGAGCACAGCAAGAACAGGTTCCTGTTGAAATGGACCATTCATCAACATCCGTCTTGCTCCTCTCCCCTCCCTGTCTTTCCAACCTTCTCTCTCCCTATCTCCTTTCCTACTGTCAGTTTGTCTGTCTTTTCATTTATGATGGTTGAACCTAGTGCCTCCATATGCCCTACCACTAAACTGCTACCTTAGTCCCAAAAGTTCTTTAAAATTATTGATGTGTGTCTTAGTTAGGGCTTCTATTGCTGTGAAGAATGAGAGTGTCAACTTTAAATTATCATGTCGTCCTCCAGATGCGGGCTCTGCTGTACAGTTGATGGGTAAAATGCTGTTAAGCTCATGTCTCTCAGCGTATCAGGATTGGGATTGTGGGTGAAGCGGCTCTGTGTGCTTGTAGCTCTTGTTCATGTTTGAGTGTGTTCTCTTATGGAAGGACTACCTGCTAATGTGTTCGTTCTCTTTCTTGGTTTTTAGAGACACCGTACCCTGTGTGTAATTGTTCTCTTGTCGGTTTAGTCATCTGGGAAAGTCTTCTGTGCTGACTTTGCACTGTTTCATACAGGTCCTCCATTTACCCCTCTGCTGTAGAATCCCTAGGGCCTTTGCCTCATCTGTTCCCACTGTAGGCTTATAAATCACTTGTAATACCTGTTTTTCACTCAAAAACTTTTGAAGTGATGCTGAGTTTGATTTGAAAATGATGGTAAGTTTAGGTCAAGTATTTTTCACAGCCAATGAAGATTACTTGGGTATAAAAACTTTTTCTGATCCACTTGATATATGGAGTGGAGCCCAGCTAAATTAACTAACCTGAACTACTTCCTCAGATGGCAGCCATGGACATGATGGTGATCTTCATTATAGAAGGACAGCCTTGATTCAGTGGAACATAATAGAGGGTACATGTTCTATTCTGAACTGTGCCACTGAACAGTTACTGATCCTCTGAACTCTTCCAGGTTTGGTTGTTTGTGTGTTAATATGAATAGCAAACCAAGCAGCATGCCGTGAAGTTGAAAAATACATATTGCTAAAATTGTGACACTTAATAGGAAACCTTCATTTCAGAAATGCCTTGAAGCCTCAGGGAGGACACGGAATCTTTGCACCTTTTCTTTAAAAATGTAATGATTTGTGTGTTCTCTCTGTAGAGTGTGATGCTGTCCTGCACTGTGTGATTCGGTGCTGGGAGGTCATGTTGTAGATCTTCCTTTTATTTTGCCTGAGGGATAATGTCTAGAACATTGGTGTATGTTCTTCGTTCTTTTATTTCCAGGTTTTCAGTGACCATGTTGGCAAGATTTAATTGTTCCTTCATATGTATGCTCTGTGATATATAGAGATATATGTTTGATTTGGTGGGGAGTTGTTCATACTCAATGTCAGTATGTTTTTTTCTTTTTCTCGTCTTCTGATCAGGATTTCTGGCAGGTACTGACCCAACAGCATGTGCTTTCAGTTAAACATTGCTCTGGAGCCCATATGAATGCTTCAAAGGCAAAGGTTCCATGCATGCCCATCTCCCCCCGCCCCCCGGTTCCATTCCTGTCACTTTAAATTACCTGCTGTCTCTAATATGACAATTCAAACACTGCACAGTCCTTGAGAATATAGAACCCAGCATAATTTTAAAAGGAAATTTTATCAGTAGCTGTTAACACAAAAGGACGAGAAACTTAGTTGTGGTTGCTGAACTACATCAGATTTTAATTAAATGTTAGTATTGTTTGGGTTGTTTTGTTAATCCATCATAGAAATGAAAGACAGTTTAAATAAAGGGGTTTATTTTTCTTTTAAAATTTCCTACTAAATGCAAATAAACAGTTGCTGGTTGCTCCTTGATCAGTAAAATGGCTTAAGAAGAAATCAGTGGCATTTAGATTTCATTAATTTTCTTTTTGAGCCAGGCAATGGCTGTAACTTGGGAAAAATAAGCAAACATGTAGGTGTAGAGATTCCCAAGAACACTCAGAACAAGTATTTTTTAAACTGACCTTCAGAGGCTGGCACTCTTTTATAGAATATACATTTTTAAATTTTATTCACTTAAAATTACTCTTGCATTTTTTTGATGGTTAGCTCTAATAGAAATAAAAATTCAACTTAAATAGTAGCATCACTTGATTTGAAATAGCTAATGTGTATTTTCCCTGTGCTCCTATTTTAAAATGGGGTGTATTTTAGCAGTTTTCCGAACCATTCACCTAGTTATCTC